GAGTACTTGACATTTATTCCTTAACCAGTGACATCTTACTATCTACTCTCTCTACTAAAGTCTCACAAACCATACACATGAAATACACACGCATACTCTAGCATGCTTCTGGTATGTGTGCCTGTGTGTGTGTTCTCATGTGTTTGTCCCCATTGCTTTTTCCAATTCTTTATAGATTTTTAAGTCCTGGAAGACAGAAACGATGTCTAGCTTATTTTATACTAGCCCAGAATGTAGCCATAAGCTATATGAGATTTCATTTACTATTTACAGCTGAACCAACTGGTTTTCAAGTGAAATCCATACAAGGCCATGTTATTAAATATGAGACTTTTCTGAAAGGGATGTGATCTGCCCAAGAGACAATATTTATGTGTACAAAGACCCCCAAAACAATGACCAAAACGATCTGCCTGCCAGTAACCAGAAGAAAAAAAAAAAACCTCATCAGAAGCCCCTGAGATAGTTATTAAAAACCATACTCAGGTGCTGAGTACCTGTAATACTAGCTATTTAGGAGGCTGAGATCCAAGGATCATAGATCAAAGCCAGCCTAGACAGAAAAAAAAAATCTATGTGACTCCTATCTTCAATTAATCCCTAAAAAGCTGAAAATCAAGCTGTGGCTGAGGCTCAAGTGGTAAAGGACCGGTGTTGAGCAAAACACTAGGGACAGCACCCTGGCCCTGAGTTCAAGCCCTAGTATCAACATCAAAAAAAAAAGCCAAAGAAAAAAAATCCCACATACTCAGTTCTCACAGTTCACTCTGCTACCAACATGCACTGTAATCTAATACACTTAAAGCAACATTTCTCCTTTTTTTACTTACTTTCATTAGACAAGTTTTATTCTATAATCCAGTTCTACCTGTGAATTAAGAGATGATGCATTTTCTCCCCCACAGTATAACCCGTTTTCACTGTATTTGATGTCGGTATAATTTGGGGAGGGGAAGGGAAAAAACAAAATGTTTAAATAGGGATACAGGTTGACCCATTGTAACAATGAGATGTACAAGACCCTATGTTGAAAAACAAACTTTACAATTTGAGGGGGAGTGGGGGGGATAGTTGTGGAAGTGGGAGGGAAGGGATGGTAGGGGAAAAACAAAGGAGGAGGCAACAATGCTTGATAAAAAAATGTACTTAGTACCTGGCTCATGTAACTGTAACCCCTCTGTACAGTATTTTCACAATAAAAAACTTATTAAGAAAAAAAAGAAATGATGTGTTTCGCTAGGCTCTGGTAACCCATGCCTGTAACCCTAGCTACTCTGGAGGCTGAGATCTGAGAAATGCAGTTCAAAGCCAGCCCAGGCAGGAAAGTCCATGAGACTCTTATCTCTGATTGCCATAAAAATATGCAAGTGGGCACTGGGAAGGTGGCTCAGTGGTGGAACGCTTGCCTTGCATGCATGAGGCCCTGGGTTCAATTCCTCAGCCCCACATAAACAGAAAAAGCCGCAAGTGGCACTGTGGCTCAATTGGTAGGGTGCTAGCCTTGAGCTGAAGATCTGAAGGACAGTGCTCAGGCCTAGAGTTCAGGCCCCATGACCGGAAAAAAAAAAAGGAAGTGGAGCTGTGGCTCAAGTTGTAGAGCACTAGCCCTAAGCAAAAAAAAGCACAGTGAGACCCGTGGTGGGAGACAAGCAAACCTGAGATTATCTGGACAGAAAATGCCTTTTCTATACAGCTCTTCATTACAGAATCAGAAGAGCTAACCACTAGGACTGGACTTCCCAGACCACATCTATTCCTCCATCTCCATGCCATCCTGACAGTAAGGACAAGCACAGTTGGCCACATATAGCCCATTCTCTCCCTCCTCTCTCTCCTTCTCTCTTTCTCCCTCTCCCTCTCCTTCTCCCTCTCCTCCTCTCTCTCCTTCTCCCTCTCCCTCTCCCTCTCCCTCTCCTTCTCTCTCTCTCTCTCTCTCTCTCTCTCTCTCACACACACACACACACACACACTCTTTTGAGCCTGTCAATGATAAAAGTTAATCTACACCAGGCCCTATCCTTATTTCTAAGGACTGTCACAGGCTTAATGTCACCTCCTCCAAACCAAATTAATATTTAAGGAGCAAAACTACAGAGACAGCAGTATAGCCTGGAAAAGAAAGACACCTAATATTTAATCCAAATATGACAATTTTGAAGCAATGTATTCTATACTAATTCCGGTAAGTCTGGTTAAAGACTGAAAGAATACTAATATTTATTAAGTGTACGCCATTAATGCAGATGAAAACCATATCCTAAGAGCAAGTTAGTTCCGGGACTGCATTTGTGTCTCCCTCAATGGTGCAAGTGAAGCTCAGTTTCTCATGGTTTACAGAAGCCAAAGTCAGACTCACAGAGCCTTTTGTGGATGTGGAAGCTGAGGGAACTGTCTGAACTTGGTAGAATTACCCATTCAAATGTCTATTTTAGGCTTATTAATTGGCTTGTTCTATTTCTCTGAAGGAAAGAATGTCTTAAATTTATCCGTCCACTTATAAAGGGAGAAATAAAAGCTCCAAAGTAGATGCTGCTGCTCCAAGGCCTGGACTGGGGTTGGGGGGCTAAGACTCTTTCTCGAATGGCCACCCTAAAACCCATACGTTAAAGGGCAATTTGCTTAATGCTCCTAGCTCTTGAAAAGGAATACCTAAACAGTTGTGAGGAGTTAATGCAACTGACATTTCATCTAAATATCTCCTCTAAAAATCAAGTTACACACATAATAGATTAGTATTGGTATTTGCCATTCCACAGAAATTTTCTTCATAAAGTACACATATCTAAGTAGAAAAGTTCAATCAATGAAGAATTCCTCTGTGAGAATTCTCAGTTTAATGAGAAGTTTTGCCTTCACTGATCAGAAGATACCTTTGGAAATGTACCGAATTTGTCCCCCCTCAAATGTGTCTAACTTCTCTATTTCTGTAGAGAAATAGTACTACTGTGTAATATCACATCAGCCCAGTCAGTAAAGAAAGATATAGATGTTAAACTAAAACTAGGTAGTCATGAGCTGCTTGAGAGAAAACCGCAAGAGAGTTGGAACATTTCCTAAGAGGGAAAAAAAACATCAAATATAATGTGAAGCAGAATTTTGACAGAACCACCCACTCTGCTGAGACAGATGTGTCCTGACATGCACGCAGCAAGTACAAGGGTGAGGTCCACTTCCCCACTGTCTGGAGCAGAGTGGAAACGGCTATTCCTGCTCAACACAGGCACCCACGACAGCAGAGAGCCCCAATCTGATCTCAGAGCTTAGGCTTCACCAAGTTCATTGTCCACCTGTAAGCTAACTAGAAAACAATTGTTTCTTAGTATTGTTTCTCAGCTCTCTGTATAGCTTTTTCTCCCCCCTCCCCCCCCACGGCCCTGAGTTCTGATATTTGCTAATAAATGAGGTATGATCTTTACCACTTAAGTACAACATTCTTATCTTTTTCCACCTGGAGACTGGCTTCTCTGGGAGGGCAAAGTAAGTAGGAAGAGGTGTGGAAGCCCACTGAGGATGAAGTACACAAAGACCACTTTTAGTCAAGAGCTTTCAATTCTATCACTAGAAGCTCTGCTTTTACAAATAAACACTGTTAAAATCCTACACTAAAGCTTCATATTGTCAAGAAATGAACTCTGTATTGCATTTGTTACTGTGGAATGTTTTCTTTACCTCTTGTTCCACTTTACTATTCAAAACCCAAAAAGCCTTAGTACTCCTGACTTTACAAAAAAAAGAGAGAGAGAGAGAGAGAAAGAGAAAGAAAGGGGGGGGAGGGAGTTTATTCTACAAATGTTCACTAGGCTTTTAGCTGGGTAACAGTGGCGTATACCTGTAATCCTAGGTACTCTACTGAGGTCCAGAGGATTGCAGTTCAAAGGCAGCTGAAGCAGAAAAGTCTACAAGACTACAATTAATCAGCAAAAAGCTGGGTTGGAGGTGGGAGGTGTGGCTCTAGTGGTAGAGCAAGTCAGGCAAGCAAAATGAGTGAATGCTAAGTTCTAAACTTAAACATTAATACCAGGTGACGTGTGTGTGTGTGTGTGTGTGTGTGTGTGTGTGTGTGTGTGTGTGTGTGTGTGTGTGTGTGTGTGTGTGTGTGTGTGTGTTTAAATCAACCTCCATCTTAAACATTAATACCAGGTGACGTGTGTGTGTGTGTGTGTGTGTGTGTGTGTGTGTGTGTGTGTGTGTGTGTGTGTGTGTGTGTGTGTGTGTTTAAATCAACCTCCATGCCCTCCAAAAGAAAAGTATGTGTGAAAAGCCATGTGCTGGTGGCTCATGCCTGTAATCTCAGCTACTCAGGATCACAGTTCAAAGTCAGGAAAGTCTATGAAACTTTTTTTTTTTTTGTCGGTCATGGGCCTTGAACTCTGGGCCTGAGTACTGTCCCTCAGCTCTTCAGCTCAAGGCTAACGCTCTACCACTTGAGCTACAGCGCCACTTCTGGTTTTCTGGTGGTTTATTGGAGATAAGAGTTTCAGGGACTTTCCTGCCTGGGCTGGCTTTGAACAGTGATCCTCAGATCTCAGCCTTCTGAGTAGCTATGATTACAGGCATGAGCAACCGGCACCCGGCCCATGAAACTCTTATTTCCAATTAACCACCAGAAAACCGAAGTGGAGCTGTAGCTTAAAGTGGTAGAGTCACGGCATTGAGCAGAAAAGCTCAGGGACAGTGTCAGGCCCTGAGTTCAAGCCCACGACCGACAGAAGAAAAAAAAAAAAGTGTCTTGAAAAGTGATTACAAATCAAATCATAAAATTCTTATGCCTATGCTCACATCCTCATAATAATCTTTTTACCCAGAAGGCACACCCAGGACAGAGGTCATTATGTATTATTTAATGTTTTCTCTGTTAGAGAAAAACTGATGTGATTGGGACTTCAATTACATCAGAGTCTAAGAGTCTTAGTCTTGGTCTTAGCTTCAGTGTCAATCAACATCAGTATGGACGGACACTCCAAGAGGCCGTGCAACGGAGGAGAGGTCAAACCACTCACCTTGTGCAAAGGGAGCACCAGGAATGCTCCTCCCCCACTGGCTTCTATGATGATGGCAACAAATCTGGGATTGACAGCACAAAAGGAGCTATCCCAGGTCACACGAGAAACCCGGATGTCATCATAGCACTGGTCATTCTTCACGGCTTGTCCAAATACATGCCGGAACTTGCTCTGTCGTACCACTCGCCGCATGGTTTCTGCAGAAGAGTAGGAATTCTGTTAGAATTTCACACCAAACTGAAGAGGAATGGTATGGCATTTTGTCTGCTCTCTTAAAAAGTGGCCAACTCACAAATCCAAATTTCCACATACCCAGAAAAAACTGCAAAATGTGAAAGGGAAAAAATTACAAAGGAATAAAAAAATCCCCAACCCAAAGCCCAGAAACAGCTCACTTTTCATTTCACGAGAAAGAGTGAAGCAAAGACTGGACAATTAGCCTTTCGGGGATAGGCGGGAACTGGTGGGCAATGCTCTCTAACCCCTTCCCATTTCCAAAGATAAGAAAACTCCCAAGTGTTACGTGTGAAGCTGAAGAAAGCCCCCACACAAGTTATGCTTCCCAACCACTCCTCTCAGCCTGCCAAGGTAGCTTTTTCAGTTTTTAAGCATTTTCCCCAGACATCAGCAGTCTGCTGTCTGAGAACTTTGCCTGCTACCCAGAGGGTGCCCACAGATCAGCTATGCAGGGTGGGGAGTTAAAGAGACATAAGCAACCATCCTGTCTTCAATTCAAGAGCCTTTTAACATCTCTTGTAAGACAGGCATGAAAATCAGAGCAACTTACTTCCAACTGCCCCACACCCAAGTGGCACACAGTGAGAACAGAAAAACCAGCCATAGCTGCCGTAGGTCAAGAGCTAGGTCTTGAAAAAAAGTGCTTAAGTGGGAAGTAGGCCGTCAAAGCCACATTTAGGATAACAGGAAGTCTAGCAGTAGCATACTGGAGGGATTAGATGGAGAATCGGAGGGCAGGGAGAGGTGACAGAGGGCCAGGTTCCTGGGTTTTGCTCACAGGCCAGATAGACAGGTGCAGTGACAGATTTGTGCTTTTGGGTCATCAGGCTGCACCTGGCTAAGATTTCCTAGACTGTGCTGTGATTTTCCAATCTGCAACATTCTGTTCAATCTACAACATTCTGTTCAAAATGGTTATAGAGTAGAAGGAGCCTGGACGGAGCCTAAGTGGAACTGGAATACAGTCAAACCTCATCAACTGAGCTGAAAACCAAATCTCCATGAACAGAGGTGGGTTGACACCTGTCCACTCCTTCCAAGTGGAACACCAGTGGGTTGCTGCTAATCCTCATCCTTCAATTCCCTTCCTCATGGCCCTGGGCCCACTGCTAAAGGTGGAGAGAACTCATGTTTACCAGAGCTCCTTCTCGCCTTCCCAGGCACGTGCAGAAATGGCCTCTCTCCAATGCTGGGGGCATTTTGGCATGCCATACCATGGTGTTCCTGGCCCAGCTGTTACCATGTTACCAGATCTTCCCAGCATACTGCCAGAACTATACATTTTGAGTTCTTGCTAGAGGAGATGGCGAACAATATGCTTATACTTGGCCAGGCTCCTTCACTTTTGAAACAGTATGAGTTTCAAGTATACGTTAAAGACAGCTTCCATGAGATGGTAAGAACCAGAAGGAAAGCACATCCAAACAAATGCCAAGGTAGAGCCAGCTGGTCTCAGGATCCATCTCCCTGCATGACCAGAGTTTTCCAGCAAGTATTCTGAGTTAACATGGAAGAAGAAAAAAAAAAAAGATTGCAGCAGGCCAACAAGTCAATATGCTTCATATAAAAGTTCTTAGCTGAATGTGTTAGCTCACATCTGGAATCCTAGCTACTCTGGAGGCTGAAATGGGGAAGACTGTAGTTTGAGGCCAGCCCAGACAAAATAGTTCATGAAACCCCATCTCAACTAATGAAGAGCTGGGCATAGTACCCCACAACTGTCAACCTAACTGCTTAAAAGGTACAAATAGGAGGATCAAGCTGGGCACGGGTGGCTCATACCTATAATCCTAACTACTCAGGAGACTGAATCTGAGGGTCACAGTTCAAAACCAGCAGGAAAGTCCATGAGACTCTTATCTCCAATTAACCACCAGAAAGCCAGGAATGGTATTGTGGCTCAAGTGGTAGAGCACTAGCTTGAGCTGAAGAGCTCAGGGATAGCACCCTGCCCAGAGTTCAAGCCCCATAACCAACCAAAAAAAAAGAAAGAAAAAAAAAAAAAAAAAGGAGGATCAGGGTCCATCCAGATGGGCCTGTGGTAGGCAAGCTAGCAAGCATGAGGCCCTGAGAACTCAATCCTCAGTATTGTTAGAGAAAAAAAAGTTCTTACAAATTCATACAACTAAAATCCAATAGAAATCAGGCAACAGATATGAGGTAATCCACACACGAAATATACATGGGATTTAGCACCATTCCTTCTGAAATCCTAAAAAAGCCCCAGTAAAGGAATACAAGTAGGGACAAGCACCAAAGGACAAGAGAACAGGAAAGGAGGCTGCAAGAGGAGGAATAACAACAAAATACTGAATGCTGGGAGGTGGTGTGCGTGTAACTGGTTGAAGCTGAGTGTCATTCACTCAGCGGAGTACCTCAGGAGGAGCCAACGTTCTCTGCAAATCCCCAGAACAACAACAAAAAGTCCCCAGAACAACAAAAAAAGAACGTGTGTGTACCTCTAAAGAGGGGGTGGAAGAGGGATGAACAGAGGACTAACTAAAAGCCTGAAAGATGAGAGTTACTGGACAGCGGATCCCCTCCCTCCACAGCTACCTAACTAGGAGATTGGCTGCTCCCTTCCCAGCAGAAGCCAGGAGGGGCCAGGCATGGCACTGAGAGTCACAGTCTCTGCTGTCAATATTCTGCTGAGCATCGTCTGGACAGGTAAAACATCACCACAGGCCACACAAAGTGGCCAATCGAAGCAGACAGCCCCAGGGCAGCCAATGAGCAGCACGCAGACATATGTGCCTATCCTGTCACTGTGCCCAATGATTCTGCAGGCTTCAGGCTGTTCCCCAATCCTGCTAGATCCCACAATTCCAACAGCCCCACCCACTCAATCTTGAGGAACAGAACTCGCTGTACTCAAGGAGCTTCTCTTACTTTTCCCGGGATCAGGCCAGCATTCACACTTTTCAATGTGAGAGTACAGGAAGGTCTCTAACTAACTCCCCATCTAATGTCCTAGTAATATGCAGAAAAAGATGTATGTCATCCTGTGCCTATTTGGTGGATAATACACAAATTGGCTGTCTGGTCATAGAAAGTCACTTCTCCATCATACATGGGGACAACTATTGTCACCCTATCCATGTTTGGGCAGAAGGGTACTGAGTAATGCTAGCTGCAGAGCATCATGGGAAGAGCCAGTGTTTCCACAGTGCTGTGCTGAGTCAGGCAGGCTGGAGAAAGGCTTGACGGGCGCTGCGAGCCCATTCACATCCAAGGTCAAACCCGATCTGGGCTCAGCTGTGCACACGTGACTCCTCTGTTTCAGCTGCGCGGTGCTGTGTCTCAGGCCCTCCAAGCGCACAATAGAGAACGGCAATTAAGAGAGCAAGCTCCAGAAACAGACAGCTGCCGAGAGTGAGGAGCACGGCTGCGCCATTTACTTCCTAGCCATGGTTCACTAGGCAAATCACGGAATCTCCATGTCACACTCTCTATTTAGAGGCAGACAATGCACATACAGTTGAACTGATAGTGAGGTCAGCACTCGGTGATGGGATGGTGGCAAGAGATTACCATGTGTTCGCATCTAGTATAGTTAGTCACACAAAACTAAGCATTCAATGAATGTCAACTACTGTTATCCTCCTAGGAATTGACACAAGACCACGGACATCCTGGCTCTACCACTTACTGTTAGCAATTACTTAACCTCTCTGAGCATCGGCTTCCTCACCTATAAAATGAAGGGAATGATACCTAAAGTAAGAATTTAAACCAAAACCTGACAAAGAAAGCCCATGTCCAAATGACTTCACCCTAATACCTATGAAACAAGTAAAGAATATCAATTCTTCACAAATCCTTCAAAAAAACCTAAGCAAGCACTTCCAATGAATTATATAAAGTCAGGATTACCTTCACGCCAAACTGAAGACAGTATAAGGACTACAGAATAATATTTTCTTCAGAATAATATTTTTATGAATATGGATGAAAAAACCCTCAACAAAATAGTAGCAAACCTCTGAGCATGAGAGTATATGCCTGTAATCCCAACTACTTGGGAGAAAGAGATAGGAAGATCATGTCTGAGGCTACCCCAGGCAAAAGCTCATGAGACCCTCTGAAATATAAATATAGGGAAAAAAAGGCTGGAGGCATGTCTCAATGGGCAAGCTTGAAGCCCTGATTTGAAGCCTTGATTTGAAACTTATCCCAATCCTCCATCCCACAAAAACAAAAAGGAAATCAAATCCAATAACATATAAAAGGAACTATATATATACAATGACCAGGTGGTTTTATACCAGGAATTCAAGGAAGGTTGGTTCAACACCTAAACTAATTAGTGTAACTCTCACAACAGGATTTAAAGTAAAAAATCATATGACCATCTTCAACAAAGCATTTGTCAAAATCTAACACACATTCACAGGAAGATATTCAACAAACTAGGAATAGAACTTTTTCAGTCTGACAAAGGGCAAACATGAAGACACTACATCAAATATACTACATAGTGGTGAAAGGTACTTTTTCCCTAAGATGAGAAGGAAGGCAAGGAAGGACCTGTGCTCTGGCCACTAGTTCTTGTCCTACAGGTTCTTGCAGGACAATTAAACAAGCAAGGAGTAGTAAAAGACATGCATACTGAAGAGGAAGAAATAAAACTTTCTATATACAGATGACACCATCTTAGATTGAGAAAATCTTAAGGAATCCATTAAAAGAACAACAATAAACAAATGCACTAAGGTTACAATAAAAAAGGATTAGCACATAAAGCCGGGCACCAGTTGCTCAGCTGTTGGTTCACGCCTGTAATCCTAGCTACCCAGGAAGCTCAGATCTGAGGATTGCAGTTCAAAGCCAGCCAGGGCAAGAAAGTCTATGAGACTTTTTTTTTGGGTCCGGTCATGGGGCTTGAACTCTGGGCCTGGGCGCTGTCCCTCAGCTCTTCAGCTCAAGGCTAGCGCCCTACCACTTGAGCCATAGCGCCACT